GGCCTGATCTCACCCCCAACTGCCCTCCCCTGCAGGCCTGATCTCACCCCCAACTGCCCTCCCCTGACGGCCTAATCTCACCCCAACTGCCCTCCCCTGCTGGCCTAATCACCCCTAATTGCCTCTGCCTCGGCCCCTACCACCATGGCTTTGTCAGGAAGGAAGTCGGACATCTGGAAGATGGCCAGTTGACCCGGTCTAATTAGCATATTACCCTTTTATTAGTATAGATAGATTATATAGGATAGAATTGCTTAAATGGGGGGAGCCTTTTTCAGCAGAAGGAGATGCTCTTGGCAGACAAAAATACATAATCCCTATATCTGGACTGATAGTCAGCCATATGCACTATACTGCCAAACCAGTCATTAAAAAATTGAACCACTTTATTATACCTTACACCAAACAGCTGTTGCCCTTAAAACCCCTCCTCAGCCCCACCTTAGGTTCTGCCTTCACAGTTCACACAGATTAGGTTCTGATTGGTCGGTTTCTATGCCAGTCAGCGTCAAAAGCTTTGTCTCCTGGGCAGCCATTGGCTCCTGACACTTCAACCAGATTTGGTTCTGATTGGTCAGTTTCTATGCCAGTCAGTGTCAAAAGATCTGCCTCCTAGGCAGCCATTGGCTCCTCACAGTTCACCCAGATTTGGTTCTGATTGGTCAGTTTCTATGCCAGTCAGCATCTCTGGGCCTGATCAGAGAGGTGAGACTTATCAGTAGCCTCAGCGGAGGCCTGGAGAAAAAGAGAGCCATGCTGCTGGCCAGGCCGGAGAGAAAGAGAGAGGCAAGTGCTGATCAACAGCTGCCATGGAGGCTACGGTTCAGACCCTGCTTCTCTTTCCAGGCTTCTCTCCGGGCCTGATCCACAGTCCCCTTGGCAGTCAGTGCTGGGTCCCTGCACCTGCAGCTGTGGCAATCAGTGCTGGGTCGCCAAGGCATCCCAGCACCGACTGCAGAACTGACTTCTGGTCCGTTGAGCCTTTGGTCATTACGGACCCTGGGTTTTTATATATTAGGATAGTACTGGAAGCCCTAGCAACAGCAATCTGATAAGAAGAAGATATAAAATGCATTCAAAATCGGTAAGGAACAAGTAAAACTATCATTATTTGCAGATGACACAACACTGTATATAGAGAACCCCACACCTTTATAGTCAATTAACATTTGACAAAGAAGGAGAAAAACATACAATGGGGTAAAGACAATCTATAGAATAAATGGTGTTGGAAAAATTGGACAGATACATGCAAAAAATGAAAGTAGACCACCTTCTTACACCATATACAAGAATCCTCAAAATGGATTGAAGACTTAAATGTTAGACTCAAAATCATAAGAAATCC